GCTGGCGATTGCGATCGTTTTCGCCCGAGGGCGCTTCGCCTCCCGACTCGCGTACCGACCTTCGCCGCGCCTGCGTCACGTCGTTTTTTTCTTCAGCAGGTAGTTAATTAATGTTAAATTTAACGTTTCGCTAAAATCATTTGATTTGATTCGCTAATACACGAGGGGGGGAGGGGGGAGAGGGAGGACACCTCCTTGGATCACTTCGAGCCTCGCGCGGAGAATCTCGCGGACTCGCGGATACGTGTCCCGGAATCTGTCCCGCCGATCTGAGAATGACGTAAGGCTTGCGTGTGAAATCATTGAGAATGTACTATTGGGAGGCGCGCAGCCTGGTGCATTTATCACGCTCGGTCGCGCTGTGAAACTGGATGGATGCCGGCAACGGGCGAATGCTATGGCGACGCTGTAATGGGAAGGAGAGGTTGCGCACGAGCGAAGTGTAGTGCAATTACGTTCAGGGATAATGGTTCGTATTCGCGCGCGTACACCGTCAACGTTCGTGTGCGCGCGATTCTCGCCTGCTTCTCTCACCTCGATGCAATTACGATTCGAGAACGCCTAACCGGCGGAGAGAATTATCTCCTCGAGTCTCCTGAGCGCGGCTTATTCCGGGAGAGCTTCCTCCAGCCGTGTATTTGGTTTGGAAGAATCGGCGCGCGCGCGCGCGCGAGATCTATCTCTGAACTACCGATCCTCAGAACTACCAATGTCGTCCGATATGATTCTTATCTCAACGCAGTGTATCCTATCTTGAACGTATAACAACTTTTTCTATTCCTTTCAAGATTAAGCTGCGATACTTGTCGATATATATACACGCGCGAGTCGTAGCAGAATCTCGACGGTTGTAATTATTTCTTACATTATTTCTTACATTATCGATAATCCGCGAGATTTAATGAGTAACAATGATAAGAGAACCTTTACGGTCTTATTCTGAAATAATAACTAATATTACAAATTGTAGGATGTGTAATAATGTTGAATTGTTTAACGTTTGCGTGATAAATAAAGTATCTTACAAATACAAGAGTCCGTTTCCCAAACTCGATTTGTATGCGTCATCACGACAAAGTTAATGTCGGATGCATCGCATTTGTTGCGTTTAATATCACGTATGCCGCAGGATTAAAATCCTTCTCTCGGGCGAATCAGATATATAAAACTTATAATCCAACAGCCACACATTTTGTATCCCTGTATTATATATACGTGAGAATATGGGCTATTATCGAGTGTTTAATATATCGCATTCTTGCATCTAGTATCACTGACTAGAAAAATGTCGAGGTGCATGATATTCCAATTAATTTGTACGGGATATAAGCAAGCGATATTGATCGTGATAAATTACACAGGCCGCGTTACGATAATTAATAGTCTGGAGAAATGTAGACTTTACATTTATAATGATTTGAGCTTAAAGCCTCGTATAAAAAGTAATAAAGTTCTACAGCGATTTATACATAAATCTGTAATAATATCTGTAATATAAATATTGTATATGCAAATAATTATATTAAATACACATATGTATATAGTAATAGTACCTAGGATACTGCGAGACATAATTAAACGTGTTAAAGCGATAAATATTATATTTACGTCACGTGTAACGAGATTCCAGTATAAAAATCTATGATTACGCAAATTGTCACGACTCACAATAAATCTAGAAATAAGCGCACGCTTTGATTTATATTCTAATAAATCTGGAGGTGTACACGGTAGCGTTGAAAATACGGGAAAGAGACGTTCAAAGACGTCTTACAAATACAAGATACATCGAGTAACAGTAATATCGTCAAATAACAAGCTCAACGTGAAAGAGCAAAAGTATCTCTCGAACTCGATCGATTGGTACTCGTTAATCTAACACGTTTCACATCTCGCATTTCTTCTTTTTCACGAGAATATATCCGTGTAACGCTGCGTTATGATAATCTAAACAAAACATTGATTTATTCGAGGCGTCAAGTCGTTTACGTCGTATCGAATCGATAAGGGCGTAATTTCCATCCGACGATATTAGGTCATGCCGCTCGTGAGTACATGTTAATGCAGTTTCATGTCGAATGGAAAGGCAACGTTGGGACACGGAAACGTAGCGGCCGCTCCTTCCAGCGAGCCGTATTTTATCGACTGTCTTTATACAAGCTCCGACAACACGGCAACGTTACATCAAATGTATCCGAAAATGGCGGCCACTGTTGATGCGTGTCAGGCCGGTTCGAATAATGGACCGCTGTTAAAGTATCTAGATTAAAGAGGAAGGCACGATATGACTTTCCGCTCGTCGTTAAGTCATTAAGAAAAGAAAATTGTGTTCCGCGCGTTATTGTATTGGGTCGCCGTGGACAAATCGAGGTCGGGAGGCGGGCGGTATGCGCGAACTATAGATTGTGTAGCATCCAGGAAATTGATGGTGAGTGAAAATTACGACGGGGCTTAGTGAATTATAAAAAGCGCGAAAGGTTATAGCTACTGATTGATTAATGCCTTTTCAAATATTCATTCGGCTAACTTTCTTTCTCTCTCGTGGTTATCGGATCTTTCGGCGCGTCGACATTTTTTGGAACCGAGCCAACTCAATTCTGGGCCTGCAATTTACTTACGATCGTGCTGAACGCCACGTTGAAAAGGAAGGAGAGAGAGAAGGTTGAATTTTTTTTCAAACCTCTCTCTCGTAAAAACGTCAAACGCCGCTCGTTTCTCGGTCTCCGACCATTTCCGACGCGGTGGTGTTTCGCGCAGAATGTTTAAAGACCGTAGAAAATCGATGACGAATGAAACTTTGATCTCTCTCGTGCGTCTCATTCACTGTATTCAGCACTGTGGCGGTGCATTGTAAACACATGCGTATGCACGTAAACTATTATGCGGCTGCAACGGCGGCGATGGCTGCTCACTGGGTGAAGCAGTCGTACAAGCCGGAGTACGGAGTTCAACGACCGGTATAAATTAAAGCGGCGCTCAGATTTCAATGCCACGGCCTTGCTCAAGGCCGTCGCACTCGTAGAAAATCAACGGTACATTTGCGTCGGCATTCGTAACAATAAATTGTGCGAATACGACGCGAGCGACTGGGTACAACCGTTTGCAAAACTAATATCGTAAGACTGCATGATGAAACTTATTTCTTACGACAATTCGCTCATTAAACTCGAATTTCTAAACGTAAAATTGCACAATCAAGTTAAAGAGTTGCACGTTTCTTTAGCTAGAGGAATTCTTTGATCTCATTTTTTTTTTTTAGAAATATCGTGGTTTTTTTCTCGAAAATAAAATATTTTGCGATAAGAAAAAAGTATGATTAAGATTTTTTTTTATCAAAATATCTATTTAACAAAAAATTACTTAATTTTTGCCTCGGTAGGACTGATATTTATTCTAACAAATTCTTAGCATCCGTGAATTTATTTCCATCACGTTTGCATGCAAATCACGGATACATCATGTTTGTTGGACTTAGTACATGCACTTAGTTTCTAAAATTATAACACACATGCATAATTTACTCAATTATATCACTTATCCGCTTTTGTGTTACAGAGGGTGCTTCGTTATTATTATTATAACGCCTGTAACGATTAATGCGGTAACGCGATTTGATACGAGATTTTAATTGTGGAATTGTTAAGAAGACCCGGTTTGTTTTTCGACTCCTCTACGCAAGTGTAATTTATAAGCAAAAAATTCACAATTTCGTGGCACATATTCGTACACACTCGATGCACATATATTTTTGGCTCGTTCAGAATATTGCAAAATATTTCGCACGGGAGGAAAAAAAACATTTTGCAAAATTACCACCGACACATTTAACAATCTTGAACTGCTCGCAAACATTTACGATGCATTTGTAACGAAATCATTTCCCAATGAGGCATGGTATTTATTCGTCGCACACGAGATTCGCGTGCGTGTACGCTTCGATCTGTCGTACGATTTTTCCGCGAACGCGCGAATGTATTCCATTGCACGATAGAGCTCTATAAATTAGCGTTTATTACTCTAACGTGCGGCGTTATTATCACGTAAACAAATGACATGCGTTGCTACTGGGTAATTAATTAATTTACTCAAATCGCCGCAGGCAGGTTTTGATACGCAATACGCTAGGCGTCGACACGAGTCTATGCAAAACAGTTATCGCGCGCTGTTCGTTCAATACCACAAAATCGAGGTTATCACCGTTAAATAGAGTAACGCAGAAATTATATTCTATAAAGAGTACGACTAGACGTACAAAAATAGAACTGTTGGAGTTATTTGCGACAACTGAAAAAGCTAGCTCTACTTATCGCAAGTGTGTAAATAACTTATCGGTAAATAAAAATTAAGTATATAAATAGTTGTCGACTTTGGTAGAGAAGGTAGAAAATCAACGATTCGAAATTGGCGTTTCCGATCTATTATACCATCTGATCAAATTTGACCCGGACTGGTTAAAAAAAACAACAATTTTATGTATTTTAATACAAATCTTTATGATCGCCTTCAAAATAGCCTCCTTCTGAGCCAATACAA